TTATCTGAGTATGGTGGCACACACCTTTAGTCCCAGCTACTTGGAAGGCTGAAGTGGGAGGACTGCTTGACCCTGGGAGGTTGACACTGCAGTGAGCTGTGATCATGCCACTGCACTCCAGTCTGGGCATCAGAGTAACACCCTGTCTTCAAAAAAAAAAAAGGAGTCTCCATACCCTCAGTCTGCAACTACTACCCCAAATGCTTATACCATGAAGAATGTATTTTCTAGCTATGGAATACTCTCAGAGTCCCTCTCTGATACCCTGGAAGCAACTTAAGGGGTTTTGGTATATAAAAAAGAATGCCAGGATTTAAGAGTGACTCTGTATTTACCTTTCAGGGAGCCAGGTGTGGGGAGGACAGCCAGTGTATCCCCAGGAGCCTGACAATGCCTGCATCTTCCCTGATGGTGGACCTTGCCCATCTGGCGCTTGGTCTCAGAAGAGAAGCTTTGTTTATGTCTGGAAGACCTGGGGTGAGGGATTCCCTTCTTGGCCTGTCATCTACACTTGTGTTCACTTCTTTCTACCTGATCACCTTTCTTTTGGCTGCCCCTTCCCCCTTAACTTCTGTGATTTTCTCTAATCTTCATTTTCCTCTGGGATCCTTTCTCTTCCATAGCACCTAGCCCCCTTCAACTCTACCATAATTCTCTCTGGCATTATGAAATGTGCCAGAGGCCTAGTAGAGGAATCCTCTTCCTCAATTGTGGTCCTACCCCATGCAATGCCCCATTAGGACCCCTTCCCCATTCCCCCATATCACCACCTTCTAAACACCCTCAGAAATAATCATACCTCCTGACCTTCCATCTCCAGTGCCCTGTTTCTAAGCCTGTCCCTCAGTTCCCTTTGACTAATAATGTTCTCTTCCTTGCTTTTCATTCCAAAAACTTCAGGCCAATACTGGCAAGTTCTAGGGGGCCCAGTGTCTGGGCTGAGCATTGGGACAGGCAGGGCAATGCTGGGCACACACACCATGGAAGTGACTGTCTATCATCGCCGGGGATCCCGGAGCTATGTACCTCTTGCTCATTCCAGCCTGGCCTTCACCATTACTGGTAAGGGTTTAGGAAGGGGCAAGGCCAGTTGTAGGGCAAGAGAAGGCAGGGAGGCTTGAATGAACTGGAAAGGGGAAAGGTGAAATGGTATGCAAACTTAAAGGGGCAGGGCTAGGAAGATCTAGGCAGAGAAATATGAGGCTTAGCACCAGTGAAGGGCCAGCCAGTCAGCTTGGGGTTGGAGGGTATGGCTGTGAGAGGAGAAGCTGTGGCTCAGGCCTGGTTCTCACCTTTTCTGGCTTCAATCCCAGACCAGGTGCCTTTCTCCGTGAGCGTGTCCCAGCTGCGGGCCTTGGATGGAGGGAACAAGCACTTCTTGAGAAATCAGCCTCTGACATTTGCCCTCCAGCTCCATGACCCCAGTGGCTATCTGGCTGAAGCTGACCTCTCCTACACTTGGGACTTTGGAGACAGTAGTGGAACCCTGATCTCTCGGGCACTTGTGGTCACCCACACTTACCTGGAGGCTGGCCCAGTCACTGCCCAGGTGGTCCTGCAGGCTGCCATTCCTCTCACCTCCTGTGGCTCCTCCCCAGTTCCAGGCACCACAGATGGGTACAGGCCAACTCCAGAAGCCCCTAATACCACAGCTGGCCAAGTGCCTACTACAGAAGTCATGGGTACTACACCTGGTCAGGTGCCAACTGCAGAACCCTCTGGAACCACAGCTGTGCAGGTGCCAACCAATCAGGTCATAAGCACTGCACCTGTACAGATGCCAACTGCAGAAAGCACAGGTACAACACCTAAGACGGTGCCAGTTTCAGAGGTCATGGGTACCACACTGGCAGAGATATCAACTCCAGAGGCTACAGGTATGACACCTGCAGAGGAGTCAATTGCAGAGCCTTCTGGAACCACAGCTGCACAGGTAACAACTACAGAGTTGGCAGAGACCACAGCTGGAGAGCTACCTACCCCTGAGCCTGAAGGTCCAGATGCCAGCTCAATCATGCCTACAGAAGCTATTACAGGTAAGAGGACCAGTGCGAATGAAGTTCATGGATGTGGGGTACGCTACTGTACTCTGAAAGTCTCACCCAGGACTCAGATGTTACCCAATCCTTTGCTTAGCATTATGGTCCCCTCAGAGCTCTCACTGGCCTGGCTATAAAGCCCTCCAGTATCTCTTTTTTCTTTTTTTTTTTAAGTAGAGATGGGGTTTTGCCATGTTGGCCAGACTGGTCTCAAACTCCTGACCTCAAATGATCCACCCACCTTGGCCTCCCAAAGTGCTGGGATTACAGGTGTGAGCCACCACACCCGGCCTGAAGCCCTCTAGTATCTCTTAATGACACGGAATAGATCTGGAGTTCAGGAAACCAAGGTCTTCCCCTAGGCCATGAGGGACGAGCTTATTGATTCTCTACTACTGAGAATGGTTGGTGAGGCCAGGGAACAGACTGTGATCATTTACATAATATTTATAGCTCATTTTCTGTTCAAGCATAAATGCACAGAAATCCTTCCCAGATTCTGAGATCCTGATCCCTCCATTTCCTACCCCTGGATTTCCATCCCAAAGCCAAAAGGGAGGAATGAAATAGTGATGCTTAAATGAGTTAACATACATTGAATGCCTAGCCTAGTGCTTGGCATAGTGTGGAGCATAATAAACATTTGAGGATTTTTAAAAACTCCAACACCACCTAACTGTGTGACTCTGGAGGAGTCATTCTCTTCTTCTGGGCCTCAATTTCCTTATCTATAGAATGAGATTCTGATCTTATCTGATTCTAAGCCAGTGACTCCAGAATGCAGTAACTCTGGTTCAACCTGACAAAATGCCTGGTTGGCCTCTGCCTCCAGATGAATCATCTGTCTCTTGATCTTGCCTCCTCGATCCTCTCCTTCCAGGTTCCCTCAGCCCCCTGCTGGATGGTACAGCCACATTAAGGCTGGTGAAGAGACAAGTCCCCTTGGATTGTGTTCTGTATCGATATGGTTCCTTTTCCGTCACCCTGGACATTGTCCGTGAGTCTTGCCTACTCTGGGGGCTGACAGAGGCACCTGTGTGCTGCCTAGGGCTGGTCAGTGGAAGCATACCTTGGGAAGAATTACTCACCTAGATAGGAAGAATACCCAAATGCCAGAATCCTCATTTGAAGGCACAGGGATGGGATTGGTGGAGCAACCCTGGGGCTTTCCTGTCTATGGGCTTTTGAGGAGGGCTGGTAGAGGAATCCTAACTTGATACTCTTGCAACAACTCTACAGAGGGTATTGAAAATGCTGAGATCCTGCAGGCTGTGCCATCCAGTGACGGGGATGCATTTGAGCTGACTGTATCCTGCCAAGGCGGGTGAGTGTCCCACTAGTTGCACTGATAATTCTTGGGTTGACTGTTTCTTTTCTTTTCTTTTCTTTTTTTTTAATTTGAGATGGGGTTTCATCATGTTGGTCAGACTGGTTTTGAACTCCTGACCTCAGGTAATCCACCCGCCTCGGCCTCCCAAAGAGCTGGGATTACAGGTGTGAGCCACCATACCTGGCCGGGTTGAGTGTTTCTTTCTCTGCTCTCTGGCATTCATTGTCCCTTCCCAGATCCCCTTATATATCCTGACACCTCTTTCAGGCTGCCCAAGGAAGCCTGCATGGAGATCTCATCGCCAGGGTGCCATCCCCCTGCCCAGCGGCTGTGCCAGCCTGTGCCACCCAGTCCAGCCTGCCAGCTGGTTCTGCATCAGATATTGAATGGTGGCTCTGGGACATACTGCCTCAATGTGTCTCTGGCTGATGCCAACAGCCTGGCAGTGGTCAGCACCCAGCTTGTCATGCCTGGTAGGTCCTTGGACAAGAGCTAAGATGAGGAAGGGAGTGGGTAGAGGCCAGCTGGCAAGGAGCAGACACTGACTGAAGCAGTGCCTGGGATTCTGCTCACAGGTCAAGAAGCAGGCCTTGGGCAGGCTCCCCTGTTCGTGGGCATCTTGCTGGTGTTAATGGCTGTGGTCCTTGCATCTCTAATATATAGGTAAGGACCTCACCACACAGTTTCAGATCCCCTTATACCTTGTTATCACCAGTCATTCTTCCTCAATGGGAGAAGGAACCACCTCTCCCTTTGAGGAAGCATGGTGTCCAGGAAAGAGCCCAGGCGTGTAAGTTAGAGAGATTTGGGCTGCTGTCTTGCTTGTGGGACCTGGGGGAAGTAGCTTAACCTGTCTAAGCCTCTGAAAAGTAGGTAAACTAATACTTGCCCTGTGGAGCTGTTATAAAGATTAGAAACAATGTGAGTAAAACACCTGACTCTGAAGCAAGAGTATAATAATTGATATTAATGACTGTTGTTAATAATATTGAGAATGGGGGCAGTTTGGGTGAACTGAGTTTTCTACCAGCAAGATGGGCAAATCCCCTAGACCTGGGGTAGCATAGTCCTCAGCCAGGAAAGCTTATGGGGTGAGGGAGGAATGGACAGAGGTTACTACAGAAATAAGAGAGGGTAAACACTGGAGGTGAGGAGAAGGGGAAGGAGCTAGGATCAAGGCTAATCAGACTGGGATATGGGTGTGTTTCCTTCTTCGGAGAAGCACAGACAGGCTACCTTTGTCCATTGCTAACAGGTTTACCCCTTCTCCCAATATCAGGCGCAGACTTATGAAGCAAGGGTCAGCCTTCTCCGTTCCCCAGCTGTCACATAGCAGCACTCACTGGCTGCGTCTACCCCGCATCTTCCGCACTTGTCCCATTGGTGAGAACAGCCCACTCCTCAGTGGGCAGCAGGTCTGAGTACTCCTGGATGATGCCATGATTTTCCTGGGGCTGACAGAAACACCTATATTTCCGCACCCCCCCCCCCATCTTCCCTGGGAGACTACTATCACCTGAAATAAATACTCAGAACCTGATGCTGGTTTTTTTTTTTTTTTTTCTTGCCTCTTGGGAGAATCTATGTCATTTAAGGAGTGAAGGTATAAAAGAAGGAAGTGTATCACTTACTTAGCAGATTCCAATAGGAAAACACAAGTCATTTTATTCAGATGAGGCACTTTCAATGTATGTGTTTTGGGGTGTGTGTACATGTGTGCGCATGAGGAACAGTGAGGTGGTGCAGGATAATAAATACTGTGAGGGTGAAGGAACACTCCGAGCTGGCAGGAGTGTGTGGCAGCAATGTACAGAGCTTCAGGAGTCCAGTCCAGGGACAGGGAGGTGGGTTCAAGGCTGGTTTGGAGGCCAAGGGTGTCCCCCTTAACTCAAGAAGCCAAAGAAATTGGTGGAGCGGGGAGGTGGGCCCATGAGCATGGGCATCTGGTTCTTGTGGGTGATCTTGATCTGGAAGGGAAGGGAACACATTCAGAGGCAGGACCTGGTGGCTTAGGGCTGCAGCTTCAGAGATTTGGAGGGAAATCTGTGGTGTTTGGGGTGAGTTGCTAGGTTCCCAGAGAGGCCACGACAGGGAAGCCAGGGGTTGAGAAATCAGAGTTTAGGATGAATGATGTGCAGGGGAAGTTGAGGCATCAGAAGGGTGTAAAGAAGCTGTGCAATGGGGATTTAGGATCCACGGAGCCCACGGGAGGGGTTCAGCTTTTGGCTGGCGTAGGCAATACTCACTGTACAGGGAGTCTGCATCCATGGTTCTCCGTCAATTTGCATGGGAAGGGTTTTTGTGGTGCTATGGGAGGCCAAGGAACATTGGTGATTTCCTTACCAATCGAATACCAAAACTGCTTCTCAGGTTGGCTTAGAGACCTTTTGTCACTGCGGGAGATCTAGTAAAGCCCCTCCCCACCATTCCCATGACCCTTCTGCTGTCCAGGCCCCACATCTTCCCTCAGGGACCCTGGTGGAGTCTTCCTTACTGGAAGGTGATCTCAGAGCATTTGGCTAGCCGACGTCCAGCATTTTTGAGCTTGGTATAGATCTGGCCCATCTCAATTGCGCCCTCCAGCCCCACTACTTCCAGTCGCTTGTCACTTAGGTCTGGGGATGAAGTAGGGAGATAAGTTTTACATAAACATGGTGTCCCCAAAGGGAGTCATACCTTCCCTTGGTCCTGCCCACTCAGCTCCCAAGGCTGCTCCTCTCACCTGGTACACAGGTTTTCAGGATATCAGGGTCAGTGATGACTTTAGCTGTAACACCTAAGGCCTGGTTGATCCCACAGATATCCCCATGGGGTCTCTTGGTATCACCCCAGAGGTTGGAGCCACCATGCATGCTAGGGATGTTCAGCACTGCGATGCCTTCTAGGGACAGGTTGCTAAGATCCAGCGGTTTCCCACAGATCTAAGGGGAGGGAGGCACAGTCCCAGTTGGGGAGGGCACAGATCCTTACCTCATGGCACAATCATAGATGTGACCACTTCCTCCATCAGATGACAAACTGGGGAGGTCAGGATTTGGAGGTGTCCAAGGGATGGAAATAGGGACTAGTGTATCTTGAGGATTTGGAGAACTGGAGTGGGAGAGCTGGGAAGTCAAAGAAGTATAGGTGAAAGAAAATGGGAAGTTCCTAAGGGTGCCATGGAGGGACAAACTTGGCTATTAAGAAGTGAAAAGGTTTCACGCTACTAAGCATGAAATAAAATAAAAATGTACTGAGACATACCTGAAATTAAAAGTTCAAAAACTTTAAAAAAAAAAAAAAGTGAAGAGGATGTAGGGTTGAGTCTTACTACACAAACCTCAACTGTCAAAGATTCCTCCAGCTTTTTGCATGTTGAGAAGATGGATTCAGATGTGGCAAATTCGAAGTACCATAGCTTGTTCTTCATTCTGTGCCAGCCCCAACACAAGGCCCAGTAGGGAGGGACAGGTTACACAGTGCTGGCAGGGGTGGTAAGTGACAGGGAAGGGCATCAACCTCCTAACTTCAGTCCCATGGGGAATAAGGGTAGCTTCGGTTGGGGGATATCCTAGCGGTGTCACTGCCCTTCTAAGCAATCTGAGTCAAACTTGGTCACAACCTGGCTCCTGACACTGTGTATGCCCACACCCCCCTCTCCTTTCCCTCACCTGCTGTTGAACTTCTCAGGATATTTCTCTCGCATGATGTGGAATCGATGAGCAATAGAGGCATCCTGGAGAGTTCAGGACATGAAGATCAGGGACCTGCCTTCCCTCTCAGTCCAGAGCTCGCTCTCGCCCTCGCCATCTCTCCTCTCTCCCAAGTCCCCATGCTGTTCCCTGCTGGCATGTCCCAAGATCTTCTCTTGCAACTCACACCACTGTACTGCACTCTGGATTTCCCTGTGTCACAGGTCACTTAACCTACCCCTTCCCTTTCTGCTCTCCTCCAGCCACTGCCTGCTTGGCCTCTACTTTCTCCCTTCTCCCCAGGCCCCATTGCACTGACCACACCAATGGAGAAGTAGTTGTTGATGATTTGAAAGGGGACCGGGTCACTCTTTTCTTCAGTTTGTTGGGGTATCACCTCCACGGACCATCGATCCATATGTACCACCTTACTCATCTCTAAATCCTTGAGGATCTTTGCCAGATTCTGTCCTTCATACCCTAGGAATGGAGAAGACAGGTTAGCACTGAGCTCTGGGTCCCAGAAAGGCCTCTTCTCAGCTCCCAGCTCCACAGATTCCCGGGGACCTTCTGCCCTGTTTCTGCAGAGCCTCTCAGCCCTTTCCAGTGACAGGGCAGGGTGCATGGTCACAGCTCCCATGGACCTTTCCTCCACACTGTGTGGAGGGTGAATGTTTCCAATGTGTGTGCACATTCAAAGATGGTGCCAAAAGTCATCTGAAAGGTTGGAAAGAATAGCCAGGAGAATGATAAAAAGATGGGTGACAAATGGGGTAATCCTCTCTCACCCTCAACACCTGATGCTTTCACTCCCCATTCAGACAGACCACAGTATAAAGCAACCATGTCTAAACAGTGTTATACTGGCAGAGTGAATGGAATAAAAGGCTCAATAGTAAAGAACAGAGTGTGGCCCAGCAGGGTGGATCACAAGGTCAAGAGATCCAGACCATCCTGGCTGACACGGTGAAACCCTATCTCTACTAAAAATACAAAAATTAGCTGGGTGTGCTGGTGCGCACCTGTAGTCCCCGTTACTTGGGAGGCTGAGGCAGAAGAATCGCTTGAACCCAGGAGGCAGAGGTTGCAGTGAGCTGCGATCACGCCACTGCACTCCAGCCTAGCGACAGAGCGAGACTCTGTCAAAAAAAAAAAAAAAGAAAAAAAAGAATAGGGTGCCCAAATAGACTCAAGTATATGTGGAAATTTAGTCTATGATATCATTTCAAATAAATGGGGAAAAGAAAGATTATTCAATAAATGGTGCTGGGGGAAGGGAGGAGCAGCATGAAAAAATACCTACTGGGTTCTATGCTCACTACCTGCATGACGCAATCATCCATAACCCAAACCTCAGTATCACACAACATACCCATGTAACAAACCTGCACATATATCCCCTGAATCCAAAATTAGAAAAACAAATAGTGCTAAATGTAGAAGTCACTCCTTATACTAAAATGAATTCAAATGGATCAAATAATTTAAATGTAAAAAAAAAGAAGCAGAATTTGTTTTGTTTTGTTTTGAGACAGAATCTCAGTCTGTTGCCCGGGCTGGAGCGCAGTGTTGTGATCATGGTCCCTGCAGCCTTGACCTCCTGCGCTCAAGGGATCCTCCCACCTTACTCTCTTGAGTAGCTGGGACCACAGGCCCACACCGCCACACCCAGCTAACTTTTGTATTTTTTTGTAGAGATGGGCAATCTGCCCGCCTTGGCCTCCCAAAGTGCTGGGATTACAGGTGTGAGCCACTGTGCCTGGCCAGAATTTGTACTAGAAGAAAACATTAGTACATGTTTTTATAATCTTTGAATGAATACAAAACTAGAAGCCCAAAAGAAAAAAGATAGATAAGTATAATTATATTAAAATTTAAAACTAGACTGACATGGTAGTGCCTATAATACCAGCTACATGGCAGGAGGATTGCTCGAACCCAGGAGTTCAAGACTAGACTGGCCAGCATAGTGAGATCCAATCTCAAAAAACAAACAAACAAGGCCAGGTGCAGTGGCTCACTCCTGTACTACCAGCACTTTGGGAGGCTGAGGCGGGTGATCACTTGAGGTCAGGCGTTCGAGACCAGCCTGGAAAACATGGCAAAACCTAATCTCTACAAAAAATGTAAAAATTAGCCAAGTATAGGCCAGGCATGGTGGCTCACAGTGCTCCGTGTAATCCCAGCACTTTGGGAGGCTGAAAATGCTGGGTTGCAGTGAGTGGGCAGATCACAAGGTCAGGAGTTTGAGACCAGCCTGGTCAACATGGTGAAACCCCATCTCTACTAAAAATACAAAAATTAGCTGGGCGTGGTGGCAGACACCTGTAATCCCAGCTACTCGGGAGGCTGAGGCAGGAGAATTGCTTGAACCCAGGAGGCATAGGTTGCAGTGAGCCAAAATCGCGCCACTGCACTCCAGCCTGGCGAACAAGAGTGAAACTCTGTCTCAAAAACAAAAAAAACTTAGCCATGTGTGGTGGCATGTGACAGTAGTCCCAGCTACTCTGAGATGGAAGATTGCATGAGCCTGGGAGTTTGAGGCTGCGGTGAGCTGTTATCTCACCACTGTACTCCAGCATGGGCAACAGAGCAAGACTCTATCTCAAAACAAAGAAAGAAACAAAAAACGAAAAAGGAAAAATGGGCAAGTGATACAAACAAGTCTATCATAGAAGGAAAAATACAAATGGCCAATATGCATAGGAAAGGTGCTCAGTATTACTAAAAATTTCAAGAACCATAATTTAAACAATTAGCTAACTTTTGTTGTCTATCAGGCTGGCAAAGTATAAAGAGATTGGAAAAATTAAGTGTTAATGAGTTTATGAATAACTGGCATTTTCATTTGCTGTTAGCTGTAGCATAACTTGATAACTCATTTTTGGAAAGCATTTTGGCAACTTTTATCAAAATTTTATCATAACATATTTTTTGCTGGGAGCAGTGGCTCACACCTATAACCCCAGCACTTTGGGAGGACAAGGTGGGCAGATCACCTAAGGTCAGGAGTTTGAGACTAGCCTGGTGAACATGGTGAAACCCTGTCACTACTAAAAATACAAAAATTAGCTGGGCATGGTGGCAGGTACCTGTAATCCCAGCTACTCAAGAGGCGAAGGCAGGAGAATCACTTGAATCCAGGAGACAGAGGTTGCAGTGAGCCGAGATTGTATCACTGTACTCCAGTCTGGGTGACAGAGTGAGACTTTGTCTCAAAAAAAAAAAAAAAAAAAAAAGCGTGTGTATATGCATATGTGTATGTGTGCATGCATGTAAAAACAGAAAAATGAGAGTAAATAGGAAACAGCGTTTATCTCTGAGAAGGTACATGGAATTTGGTGGGGGATAGGAAAGAAGAGTCTTGTATGTAAAGACTTATGTTACATTAAGAGTCTTTAAATCTTTTACAACTACAATGTACTGATGATTTATTTGTGTAATTTTTTTTGGAGAAGGGTCTTGCACTCTTGCCTAAGCTGGAGTGCACTGGCTCACTGCAGCCTCAACCTGCCAGGCTCAAGCTATCCTCCTGCCTCAGCCTCCTGAGTATCTGGAACCACAAGCGTGTGCTACCATGCCTGGCTAATTATTTTATTTTTCATAGAGACGAAGTCTCACTATGCAGTCCAGGCTGGTCTGAAACTCCTGGGCTCAAGCGATCCTCCAGCCTTGGCCTCCCAAAGTGCTGGGATTACAGGTGTGAACCACTGTGTTGGGCTATTTGTGTAATTTTTTAAAAAAGAAAATAAGTATTAATAGTAAAATATTCATGCCAGGTGTGGTGGCTCATGCCTGTAATCCTACCACTTTGGGAGGCCGAGGTGGGAGAATCACCTGAGGTCAGGAGTTCGAGATCAGCCTAGCCAACATGGTGAAAATTCGTCTCTACTAAAAATACAAAAAATTAGCCAGGTGTGGTGCTGCACGCCTGTAGTCCCAGCTACTCAGTAGGCTGAGGCACAAGAATCAGTTGAATCCAGGAGGCGGAGGTTGCAGTGAGCTGAGATTGTGTTCTTGCACTCCAGCCTGGGCTACAAAAGCGAAGCTCCGTCTCAAAAAATAAAAAATAAACTTAAAAAAAAGTCCAGATTCTCTGAGTCAGCAATTTTACTTTTAGAATTCTCTCCTAGAGAAATGTTCATATTTGTGTGCAGAGATAGATGTATGAGTGTTCACTGCAGCATGGTTTGTAAGATTAAAAAACTGAATGCTGGCTGGGTGTAGTGGCTCATGCCTGTAATCTCAGCACTTTGGGAGGCTGAGGCAGACAGATCACGAGGCCAAGAGATCGAGATCATCTTGACCAATATGGTGAAACCCCATCTCTACTAAAATACAAAAAAATTAGCCTGGAGTGGTGGCACGTGCCTGTAGTCCCAGCTACTCAGGATGCTGAGGCAGGAGAATCACTTGAACCTGGGAGGTGGAGGTTGCAGTGAGCCAAGATCACGCCACTGCACTCCAGCCTGGGCGACAGAGTGAGACTCTGTCTCAAAAAGAAAAAAAAAAAAAAGAAAAAGAAAAAAGAAAAAGGAAAAAAAATGTCAAAAGTAAAACATGGAGGAACAGCCCCGAAAACTGTAGGGCATAGATTATAGGGAGCTTTTACTTTTTTGGTACATATATATGAATTGTTTGAGTTATTTTTTTACCACCAGCATGTATTACATTTGTAGTCGGGGAGAAAAAGGATTTTTAAAATATTTCCACAGCTGGGTGCAGTGTCTCATGCCTATAATACTAGCACTTTGGCTTGGCACCTTGAGGCGAGTGGATCACCCGAGGTTGGGAGTTCAAGACCAGCCTGACCAACATGGAGAAACCCCATCTCTACTAAAAATACAAAATTAGCCGGGCATGGTGGCACATGCCTTAATCCCAGCTACTTGGGAGGCTGAGGCAGGAGAATCACTTGAACACGGGAGGCAGAGGTTATTGTGAGTCGAGATTGCACCATTGTACTCCAGCCTGGGCAGCAAGAGCAAAACTCTGTCTCAACAAAAAAAAGTCTCCAATTCCTCACATGCCATCGAGGGTTCAATCCACTGTAATTTGCCTGTTACCCATCCCACCCTGCTGAAACATTTTTGGCAAAGATTGCCAATGACTCCTGCCAATTGTGTATCTTTCGTTCTCATTTTAATTCTTGAAAGCCTTCACTTAACCTCTGAAATATCACTCAGTTACAGAGGACCTCTGTGAGTATTCCTTTTTAGTCTTTGTGGTAGGCAGAATACTGGCTTCCCAAAAATGTCCACATCTTAATCTCAAGAAACTGTGAATATTGCTAGGCGCAGTGGCTCACGACTGTAATCCCAACACTTTGGGAGGCCGAGGCAGGCGGATCATTTGAGGTCAGGAGTTCGAGACCAGCCTGGCCAACAAGGTGAAACCCATCTCTACTAAAAATTCAAAAATTAGCCAGTTGTGGTGGTGCACACCTGTAATCCCAGCTACTCGGGAGGCTGAGGCAGGAGAATCACTTGAACCCATGAGGCAGAGGTTGCAGTGAGCTGAGATCGCACCACTGCACTCCAGCCTGTGCGATGGAGCGAGACTCCATCTCAAAAAATAACAACAACGACAACCAAATTAGCTGGGTGTGGTGGCACATGCCTATAATTCCAGCTACTTGAGAGGCTAAGACAGAAGAATTGCTTGAACACTGGAGGTGGAGGTTTTAATGAGTCCAGTCCGTGCCATTGCATTCCAGCCTGGGCAACAAGAGCAAAACTCCATTTGAAAAAACAAAACAAAAAAAGAGAAAAAAAGAAACTGTGAACATGTTGTTACCTTAAATGGAAAAAGAGACTTTGCAGATACAATTAAATCGAGGATTTGGGGCCAGGGATGGTGGCTCATGCTGTAATCCCAGCACTTTGGGAGGCCAAGGTGGGTGGTTCACTTGAGGTCAGGAGTCCCAAGACCAGCATGGGCAACATGGTGAAACTTGTCTCTGCTAAAACTACAAAATTCAGCCAGTCATGTTGGTGCACGCTTGTAATCCTAGCTACCTGGGAGTCTGAGACATGAGAATCGCTTGAACCAGGGAGGTGGAGGTTGCAATTAGCTGAGATCAAGCCACTGCACTCCAGCCTGGGCAAGAGAGGGAGACTCTGCCTTAAAAAAAAAATGAGGATTAGGCCGGGCGCGGTGGCTCACGCCTGTAATCCCAGCACTTTGGGAGGCCGAGGCAGGTGGATCACGAGGTCAAGAGATCGAGACCATCCTGGTCAACATGGTGAAACCCCGTCTCTACTAAAAATACAAAACATTAGCTGGGCATGGTGGCGCGTGCCTGTAATCCCAGCTACTCAGGAGGCTGAGGCAGGAGAATTGCCTGAACCCAGGAGGCGGAGGTTGCGGTGAGCCAAGATCGCGCCATTGCACTCCAACCTGGGTAACAAGAGCGAAACTCCGTCTCAAAAAAAAAAAAAAAAAAAATGAGGATTTTGAGGTGTGAGATCACACTGGATTATCTGGGTGGTACCAATGTAATCACAGGGGTCCTTATAAATAAAAGAAGAAGGCAGCAGAAAAGAATTGTAAAAGGAGATGTCACCATGGAAGCAGGGGTTGGAGTGATAACACCACTGGTTGGAAGGGGGACCTTGAATCAAGGAATGCAGACAGCCTGTAGAAACCAGAAAAGGCCAGAGATTCTCCCCTAGAGCCTCTAGAAAAGAACTCAGCCCTGCTAACACCTTGATTTTAGCCTAGTGAGACCCATTTTGGACTTCTCTCATCCAGAACTATCAGATAATAAATTTGTGTTGCTTTAAGCCACTGTTTGTGGTAATTGGTGACAGCAGCCGTGGGACACTAATGCCGACTTTTTTAATAACTCCTCTTTCTCTGCTCAACTGAAATAGGGTGTTTACCAAGATCTGGCTGTCCTTGTTCAACTTCTCTTACATCTTACCCTGAGTAATCTTAGCTACTCTCAGAATGTCAATTACTACCTAGGAGCAGATGACTCTCAAACATATATCTCCTAAAATATGTGACTTCTCTCCTAAATTCCTGACGTGTATTTCTTTCTTTTTTTTTTTTTTTTTTGAGACGGAGTTTCACTCTTGTTACCCAGGCTGGAGTGCAATGGCGCGATCTCGGCTCACCGCAACCTCCGCCTCCTGGGTTCAGGCAATTCTCCTGCCTCAGCCTCCCGAGCAGGTGGGACTACAGGCACGCGCCACCATGCACAGCTAATTTTTTGTATTTTTAGTAGAGACGGGGTTTCACCATGTTGACCAGAATGGTCTCGATCTCTTGACCTCGTGATCCACCCGCCTCGGCCTCCCAAAGTGCTGGGATTACAGGTGTGAGCCACCGCGCCCGGCCCCCGCGACATGTATTTCTAACTACCCACCACAACATCTCCACCTGCCCCAAATGGAATCTTTCTTCCTTAAACTAGTCTTCCTCCTGTATTCCCAATCTCAATAAACGCCACTCCGAGGTTGGGTGCGGTGGCTCACACCTGCAATCCCAGCACTTTGGGAGGCCAAGGCAGGCGGATCACCTGAGGTCAGGAGTTTGAGAACAGCCTGCCCAGCATAGTGAAACCTCGTCTGCACTTAAAATACAAAAATTATCTGAGTGTGGTGGTGGACTCCTGTAATCCCAGCTACTTGGGAGGCTGAGGCAGGAGAATCGCTTGAATCTGGGAGGTAGAGGTTGCAGTGAGCTGAGATTGTGCTACCACACTCCAGCCTGTGTGAGGTGAGACTCCATCTCAAAATAATAATAATAATAAATAAATATATGAATAAAGAAGTGCCACCCCCATCTGCTCAGTCCACAAACGTAGGAAACTAGACTTCTCTCTACCTCCTCCTCCACAACCCATCAGTTATCAAGAGCTGTGGCTTCTATCTCATTAACTCCATTGCTGCTGCCTTGGCTTCTGTGTTCATCATCTCTTGTCTGGGATACTGCAAAACACATAATTTTCTATTCTGTCTCCTTCCTCCACTCCCATAGTGATACTCCTTTCAATGCCCATCTTCAAACCTTATCATTTTTTTCACTGTCGGCATGTTTTCCTTTTAATTTTTTTATTTTATTATTATTATTTTTTAAATGAATGAGAGGTTCTTATGTTGCCCAGGTTGGCCTTGAACACATAGCCTCACCTCCTCAAGCGCCAGGACAACTGGCCCGAGCCACTGCGGCTCCCTTATTTTTTAATCTTAATTTCAATTTTTGAGATAGGATCTCACACTGTTGCCAGGCTGGAGTGCAGTGGTGCAATCATGGCTTACTGTAGCCTCCATCTCTCCAGCTGAAGCAATCCTCCCACCTCAGCCTCAGCTGGGACTATAGGCATGTGCTACCACACCTGGCTATTTGTTTGTTTGGGAGAAGCATAAAAATATTTACGGAGAAGGGGACTATTAATCTTGACCCTTCTAGGTTCAGACTGTGGTCCCCGATTCTTCCAAAGCTCTCTTCTTTTTGGACATTCCACTTTTGTAACTACCTGTCTGTGCTCCTCTTCTTCCCCAGTCTTCTTTCTACGCCAGATGCCTAGATTCTTCTCTAAGTGCCTTTCCCTTCCTATACAACTTCCCCCAGCCCACAGCAAAACAATTTCTAACCACTTACCTCCTCCCCATCTTAGGCATCGAGCCAGATCATTGCCAGTACCCAGGGGCAACACAGCAACAGGAGGCAAAACTGGTAAGTTAGCTTTGTCTGCGGAGGCAGGTGAAGAGAAGGATGGAAAGAGTTAGCTCTGCAAGACTACGAACCCAATCCCTTCCCAGAGCCCCTCCCTGCACTGACCAATGGTCTCTAGAATCCAGCCTACTGTGCCGTCTCCACCACACACCAAAATCCGGCTATCAGGAACATCCTTGAACAATCGGAGCCTGAGACAAAGGGGAGAAAGAAGATGAAGAAGAGTAACAGGACTGAGGCTACCCAACTCCTGGGCAGGCAGATTGCTTCTTGTCTCTCATTCCTTAGGACCCTCTCCCCCTTTGTCAAAAGATTTGAGTTTCTATGAAGGGCAGAGAAAAGAACAACAGGGAAAGTTATAGCCACTCCTCAGTGGTTAGGGAAAAATTGGTATCTTCATCCTTTTTTTTTTTTTTTGAGACAGAGTCTTGCTCTGTCGCCCAGGCTGGAGTACAGTGGCATGATCTTAGCTCACTGCAACCTCCGCCTACCAGTTCAAGCAATTCTCTTGTCTCAGCCTCCTGAGGAGTAGCTAGGATTACAGGGACACATCACCACACCCGGCTAATTTTTTTTGTATTTTTAGTAGAGACGGGTTTTCTCTATGTTGGTCAGGCTGGTCTTGAACTCCTGACCTCAAGTGATCCACCCGCCTCAGCCTCCCAAAGTGCTGGGACTACAGGCATGAGCCAATGTGCCTGGCTGGTATCTTCATTCTTTGAGAGCAGGACAAAGATGGGCCAGACAGCTTGGAGGATGGGATACCCAGTGACCCTAGGGAAAGAAACATTCTGAATTCTGGCCTCTTGGGGACCTCTAGCTCTCCTCTCCCAACCTGCACTCTTTCCTGCACTCTTTTAACATATACAGATACACAGACAAAACACTGTGTGTTAGGAGCACAGCCCCTAACCTGTGCTCACCCTATCTCAGGACCATCCTTTAGGAGGTTGAACACTTGTCGAGGGTTTAGTATATACTGGAACTTCCAGAGCACCCTGTGTGTGGGAAAAAGGAAAGCTTATGGCAGGAGTGAGGGAGGGTGATCTTCTGAACCTCACCCTCTTGATGTTTTCCTCAAGGTATACCCCTCCAGACACACACATCCCCTTCCACCTTCCAAGTGCTGCAGGCAGGCCCTCCCCTCTCATCTTAGAAGGCCCAATATATCTCTCCTCACCTCTGCCCCTGCTTCCCGCCACTCTTAGGATTGACAAAGACAAGAAGTGGGTGGGTGTTAGGAACAGGGTCAATCTGCATTGGGGGAAGAAAGTAAGGATAAAGAAAGCAGGATTTTGTCAGAGTTAAGGTGAGCCCTGGAGACAGGGGCAGAGGGCTGCCATTCCACCAAGATATTCCCCCCTCCCTCCTGTTTCCCTCCCCTTCCCTCCCTACCACGGTGAAGTTTCTGGAAAGTGAGCAACAACCGCACCCCACCAGGCTCTCCCATTTCATTCCCACTTATGAGGGCTCCAGTGAAAAACCAACCCCCACCGTGAAGCCCAAGACTCTCAGCCCTGTACCCGCAGAGCCTCAGAGGTGCTCAAATCATCCATGGTCTTCTGGCTTGTTTTGCTATTTTTACGATCCGATCCAGTGGCCTGACAGGGGAGGAAAGCAGAGAGAGGGAAAGCTGGATTGTGCATGACTCCCTAAAGAGAGGGGTCTGACTTGAATCCTAAAAGTATGAGTTCTCTATTCTAAATGCCATTCTGTGCGTGTGGGAAATCGGGGAGGCACTCCTGTCCCCTCCCCGCTGCTGCTGCCGAGGGTCTCACCAGGACACTGGGATAGATGGAAGATGGAGGCAGGATGTGATCCCGGAGCAGCCCACAGTCACACTCCTGGCCCACCGCTTGCAGGCAGTCATCGTGGATCTGAAAGACGAGGTGGGCACAGAGAGATCACGAAGGGGACCCTGTCTCCTCTCAACCTGGCAGTCTGGGCTGGAAAGAGCCCTTGGGAGCAGGGGCAACTGTGGCTGTAAGGGAGGGAAGGCTGGGAGGCCCGTGGAGAGCGCAGCTCTGCAGGGCCCTAAGATGTAGCCAGGAGGGATGGCTCCCAAACTGACCTCTAGGTGGCACCATACACAGTGCACCCCAGTTAGACTGTGGTAGATTCGGATCTTTTTCTGACAGCGGTCGCAGCGCCCGGACGCACAGCCTCCTCGCACCCACACATGTGATTGGACCTTGGGGAGAAAGGCAGTCCCTTGTCTGGGAAGGTCTGAGCAGGACCTAGGGGACGGAGGGGCTGAGGGCAGCAATGGGTCAAGGGCCAGGGCCAGGGCCAGGGCCAGGACGGAGGTAATGTGGCGGGCTTGAGGTCACTCACACCAATGTCCTTCCGAGACTTGGCATAGGTGCTGACTTCACAAGGCAGAGCTTTCATGGCACACTGGTCGTGAACAGTGTACTTACAGACTGAGGGAGAAGGAAGAAGTTGGAAGGCTTAGCTGCAGCCCCTCCCACTATTTCCTCTTTACCTGGGGGTGAGGGAGGATCAGATATGATCTCTTGCTGGAGGGTGTAATAGAGAATTAAAGTTTGGGGTGAGGGGCACACCTCCAAAACCCACACCTTTTCCTTACTCTTCCTCCTAAAAGAGCAGCTGCTACCTCATGCCTGCCCCCACATCATCCATATGCCAGGCAGGAACTGAGCTGGGTGATGCATGGGAGGCCCAGGTCTAACAGCAACAGTAATCATAATAGGTAATTTTTTGGCCGGGCGCGGTGGCTCAAGCCTGTAATCCCAGCACTTTGGGAGGTTGAGGCGGGTGGATCACAAGGTCAAGAGATTGAGACCATCCTGGTCAACATGGTGAAACCCCCGTCTCTACTAAAAATACAAAACATTAGCTGGGCATGGTGGCGCATGCCTGTAATCCCAGCTACTCAGGAGGCTGAGGCAGGAGAATTGCCTGAACCCAGGAGGCGGAGGTTGCGGTGAGCCGAGATCGCGCCATTGCACTCCAGCGGGGAAAAAAAGAAAAACCCCCTCACAAAAAAAAAAAAAAAAAAAAAGATAATTTTTTATTGCATCTTACAGTATGTACATGCACCATCCGAAGCATTTTCTTGCATCAGCTTTTTTTTTTCCTGATTAAACATCTCAGGAGCATCAGCTTTTTTAATGCTCACGATTACCTCATTTTCGGTTGAGGAAACTAAGGCTTAAAGAAATTATGTGGCGCCGGGCGCGGTGGCTCAAGCCTGTAATCCCAGCACTTTGGGAGGCCGAGGCGGGTGGATCACGAGGTCAAGAGATCGAGACCGTCCTGGTCAACATGGTGAAACCCCGTCTCTACTAAAAATACAAAAAATTAGCTGGGCATGGTGGTGCATGCCTGTAATCCCAGCTACTCAGGAGGCTGAGGCAGGAGAATTGCCTGAACCCAGGAGGCGGAGGTTGCGGTGAGCCGAGATCGCGCCATTGCACTCCAGCCTGGGTAACATGAGTGAAACTCCGTCTCAAAAAAAAAAAAAAAAGAAATTATGTGGCTTTCCCAAAGTCACATAACTAGTCACTGGCAGATTCCAGGATTCAAACCTAGGTCTTTCTATGTTCAGAGAGCAGGGCTCCCACAGATTGCTCGGCTGACCCTCTTCCTCCATCTCCCAGGTCCCATTACTCACGGTTACAGCTCAGCCCCTGTTTGCCGAGACCAATGCTGGACTCGCACAGATTGCAGTAGACTGGTCTGGGGAACCTCTTGGGCCTCCACATGTGCTGTCCATCGTCCTTCAGAGTCTAGGAAGGCACAGCAGATGCTAGGGAGTGTCACAGCCCTTACAGGGCCAACCCTGGCAAGTACAACCCAAGGCAACTATCTTACTCATCCTCCAAAGTCTCTCCTACTCACCATTTCCAGGCCCAGCAGCACTAGCAGTGGCACCGTGGTGGCCCCAGCCCGGACCCACTCAGCTTGAGAGACAGAGCCACTGCCATCATAGTCAATCTGTTTCATCATCTCCTGAAGAATCTGAGCACAGAGTGGAAAGGAGCTTTCGGTGTGAATGGGTCTTCAGACCCAGCACCTCTCCACTGCCTCTTAGGATACCCAGCCCAGCTGTCCTAGCCAAGGCAACCAGGTTGTCTGTCAGAGATGAGGTAAGGCAGATGCAGGACTCACCAAGGAAAAAGATACAAGAAGGGACATGAAGGAAGAGCTGCTTACCGGCCTCAGCTCAGACACATCCCAATCTAGGTATTCAGCCACTCGCATCATCTGTAGGATAATTTTTTCCACTTCCTGGAGGAAAAAGGGCAAGAGCCACAGCCATATCCCCCTTGCTATCACCACCCAAACTCTTTTGCAGATATCAGTGTTCCTGGGTTCCACCCCAGATTTACACCTCTCATTCTCAGGTACGTCTGCCAAGTAAATAAATGTGTTTTTATGTTTGTAAGGCAGCCCCCAGTTCATGTCTCCAGCATTCTCTTTGAGGGATCAAGAGCTTGGGACTCACTTTCAAATTTAGTCCTAGAGGACTCAACCTCTCCCCCCATCCTCTTCTGCTTCTTAAGACCCTGGAAGAGTTGGGGCGGGAGGGTGCAGACAAATGAACACACATTCCCTTGCCCAGCATACAGGGTCCCCAACTCACTGAGCTGTCCAGGATCCCATTTCTGTCCGTGTCGTACAGCTTGAAGGTGACTGTGGGGTGTTGTACGGGGCTAGGGTCAGTTTGTGAAAGAGATACCCAAAGAATTCATACCAGAATATAGGGGAAACAGAGAGACAGGGAGAGAGCTTTTGGGTGAGAAGCCTAGAGCCTGGGACGGGACTGACAAAGAGACAAAAAGGAAGGGAAAACAGGCGTGGATTCCACCCTCAGTGAAATGTGTCAGGGAAGACAATACACAATCCATATGCCATGGACATCCTAGGCCACCTACATGGGAATGTACAAGACATGAGAACCGGGGTGGCTATGGTGAAGGGTATTAGGTATAAATAGTCTGGGAGAACAGAGGAAATGGGCTCATTCTCTGGCCCCACCTTTGTCTAGCCCTGTCAGCCTTTAGGAATCCTGAAGGAATGAGGGAAAGGAGGCTGGGAAACACCTCTCTCTCCCTTCACTGTCCCACCAGCTCACTCCAGAAGGGCAACTCACATTCTAACTTGTCTTCTGGCCGACCACCCTCCAGAAGGGAAAAGTAGCAGGAGACATCACTGAGGCACACCACGTCTGGTTACAAAAAAGTAGATCTGAGGTCAGGGTTCTCTCCACTTTGGCTCATCTTTTAGCTTTTGTTTGTTTCACCCCTCCCTTTTTAAAAAAATTCTTTACTAATTTTTTTAAGAGACAGGGTCACACTCTGTCACTGAGGCTGGAGTGTAGTGGCGTGATTACTGGTCACTGCACCTTGAACTTCTAGGCTCAAGCAATCCTCCCATTTCAGCCTCCTGAGTAGCTGGAGACTACAGGTGTATGCCACCATGCCTGGTCTAATTTTTACATTTTTTTTTTTTTTTTTTTTTTTAGAGATAGGGTCTCAGGCTGGTCTTGAACTCCTGGCCTTAAGCAATCCTCTCACCTCAGCCTCCCAAAGTGCTGGGACTACCGGTGTGAGCCACTGCCCCCGGCCTACCTCTCCCCATTAACTTTCCTCCCTTTAACTCCTAGACCAGCCTGACTATTCTCCACCAATTTCCCCCAACCTGCACAACATGTGACTCAGTCAACTCTCATCCCCAAATCCATATTAGTTTGATTTTTCTTCTAGAGGCTTAGCCCGGTGCTACCTGCTTGATCATACCTTTTATCACGTTTGTCTCATTTAAGCAGTGACCAGTCTCAAAGGATTGAAACAGTGCCAGGCTTAGGTGACTGGGAACATCATCCACTTCCAGATAGATTTTCAGGAATTGTTGGAATCCCTCATACCCAATGGCCTATAATGAGAGTGAGCATTACCCTGGGGAGTCTTCAAGGTGGGAGCTGGGACTGAAGAATTAGGAGTAGTGGGGATAGAGATAACAAGTTAAGAGCTGAGAAGCATATGAGGCGGGAGTATGGTTTCTCTAAGTCCTGAGTTAAGAGAATCTTTCGGGCCAGGCGCAGTGGCTCAAGCCTGTAATCCCAGCACTTTGGGAGGCCGAGGCGGGTGGATCACGAGGTCAAGAGATCGAGACCATCCTGGTCAACATGGTGAAACCCCGTCTCTACTAAAAATACAAAAAATTAGCTGGGCATGGTGGCGCGTGCCTGTAATCCCAGCTACTCAGGAGGCTGAGGCAGGAGAATTGCCTGAACCCAGGAGGCGGAGGTTGCGGTGAGCTGAGATCACGCCATTGCACTCCAGCCTGGGGTTACATGAGTGAAACTCTGTCTCAAAAAAAAAAAAAAAAAAAAGAGAATCTTTCATTTTGTCCTAAAGCAATAGTCACAGTGACAATGGATGCTTGGATATCTCTAGAGGGGACAGTGAGGGACAGGCCCGGAATCACTCCTGGAAGTTGGGGATCAAAAACAAAGATGGGAAGAGTTGGTCGGGGAGAGGATCTCCCAGCTGCTACTCACATCTCCTTGGACATATTTAGCCATCTCGCCATCCTCAAAGAGTTTTAGGACATCACTGACCTTTTTGGTGGAGTCTAGGATGTGGAGAGAGTAAGAGAACAGCATTGTTAGTCCAGCTGAGTTCTCCTGCCAGAGAAATCCAGCAGGAAAAAAGATTCAAATGAGATGTAGAAATTCCAGGAAGGAACACAGAAATACAGAGGGAAAAATATTTCAGATCCTCCAAAACAGTACCACTCTTTACTCTTCTTCTCTGAGAGCTGGAGCAAGCAGTCCAGGTATAGCGAGGGTGGGTAGAGAGCCAAGGCCTTTGGCATCTCCGTATCTCCCTCTCCTCCCGTTCCCAGTCATGGGCACATCTGAGCAGCACACTGCTCAAAGCCACCAAGGAAGCGGGAGGGTAAGGGGTGTAATGAGGGGGAGGAGGGATTCTCTGGGGCAAGGTTCCCAGAACTGAAGGCCTGAGAGGAAGACTCACATTCCATGTATTTTTGCAGCTGGGCAAAATCACTGGGGCTTATTAGGCCCCTCTCCTTGGCCATCTGTCTGTTTTTCTCAAGGATGGCCAGAAAGGCAGCTTGGTAGTAGTACTTCCGATGCTTGGACCTTTTCAGAGGGTAGGCCTGGGGAAAGGTGACAGAATGTACAGTGGGAAAAGCCAGCTCTCTGGGTGTCTTTTCTTCTGTCTGCTCCATTCTGTTTCTACTCGCACTATTATTTTTGTTCTTTCCTTCTCTCCGAGTCCCTCCCTAAATATCTTCCTTTCCCAGTGCCCCTCTTCCCTATGCCTCTACCCTCCCTGACAGTGTCTGTCCTCTGCCTGTTTCTCCACTTCTGAATCCTTTTCCCCCAACCTATCTTGATTCATCCTACCACCCACCTTCCCACCCGCACCCGGCTTTCTCAGTCTGTATGTTTCTGTGGGTGTGTCCCTTGTCTGTTTCTGCACTTTCTCCCGCCGTCGTCAGCCTCTGCAGACTCTCCCCAGCCTGTGCTCTCTCCCATCTCGGGTCCTCGGCAGTCGCGGCCCTCTGGGTGACTCTTACTGCGTTAGCGCGTCTTCCTGAGCATAACCCCATCTTGTTCCGTCTCTGGCGCCGGACCCCAGCTCGGCTCAGCCACCCACTCCCCGAGCCACCCACGCCCCGCAACGACCTCTAGCGCTTCTGACGCGCGACACAGAACCAGCTCTGGCAAGGTCCCTAGCCCCAGCCCCGCCTGGCCTGCGTTCCGCGGAGCTCCACTGGGGAAGGGCGGGGACCCAGGCGCGCGGGATAGGGAGATGGCAGGGGAAGAGGCTCTGGGTATCCGCGTGGTTTCCCAGTCCAGGACGGTGGAGCCGAGCGCTGGAGTCTCGGCTACTGGGAACTTTCTTCCACCCCTACAGGTCAGCAGTGCTTAGGAAGCCCCAAGTTTTGGCTACTGGACTCAGGTACCAAGGAGGAGCCATCTCGTGGATCCTGCCCAAGGATCAAGGTGCAGTGGGCGACTTCCCTTGATGATTCAAGAACAGTAATAATATATTTTACGTTAACACAATATAGCACGGCTTTGGAACAGAGCTAGGATCTGTCATATCTGGGTTTCATTCTCAGCTCTGACACCACTGTGTGACTTCGGGAAGTTATATCTGTAAAATGGGGAGAATGAGAATCCATCTTTTTTTTTTTTTTGTATTTGTTTTTTTTTAAGTTGACATGTGGTTTCACTATGTTGGCCAGGCTGGTCTCGAACTCCTGACCTCGTGATCTGTCCACCTTGGCCTCCCAAAGTGCTGGGATTACAGGAGTGAGCCACCACGCCCAGCCTGAGAACCCATCTTTCACAGTTGTGTGGCTTAAATAAAATAATATATGATCAGAAAAATTTGTGCTCAAAGTTAAAAGAAAAAAATAATATATGAAAAGTGGCTCGTATAATGCCTGACATTTAGGAGGCCTACAAGAAATGGTAGCTATTATTGTATTAACAATTAGAAGAACATCCTAATTTGAATCAAATCCTGAGACATAGGAAATTATTGGCATAACCAATCTACAGAGAAGGAAACAAGCTCAGAGAAGCTTGGATTTCCTGAGGTAGTTGATAGGTGGAAAATCCAAGGCTCCAGCCCAAGGCCATGTGGTAGTGCCTCTGCCTGTCACTCTGCTCTCCTCTTGTTCCACTCTCTCCTCACACATCTGGTCCTACTGCTCTCCTTTCTGTTCCTCAGACATGCCAAGCTCTTCCCTGCTCAGGGCTATGAGACTTATTGTTCTGTCTGTCTGGGACACCCTTCCCAGTATGTAGTGGGTGCTCAATATGGGTTGTACAAATGATTGCGTAAAGCTGAGGATTCATACTTTGGGGCTATTAATCCAAATATGGTTACATGGGAATGGGATGCCAGAGTATCCACCTGAGAGTAAGGAGATAATTTGTAGTACATAGAGTAGGTGCTAAATAAATATTTGTTAAATGAATGAATGATGCTGAAAAGCACTTCTTGAGTACCCCATCAAATACTCCGATCTCCACCCACTCATTTAGGGTTTGCTGGGTTAGGGAATCAGTTTGAGTGTTCAAGAATAGGCCAACCCCTTTCCTTTCTGATGGTGTAAGAACCTTCTCTGCAGCCTCTGCCCTTGGGACATCTCTGCTGTCCACTTTTATGCAGCACATTATTCCTGTTCCAGGAGCTCTCCAGGAACACTTAGAAGAGGGTTCTGGGATACTGACATCCTAGAGAAAGAACTGTACCCATCCGACACTTTTCAATGACGATAGCCCAACTTCTGCTGCCAACAGATCTAATGAAGACTAATAGTCTTATGGTTAATGGGGCCTCTTTTGCTTAATTAGCCTCTCTGATTTCCCCTGGGGATGCTAAGATGACTCCAAAGTCCTTGGAAATGGAATCTGAGGGAGAAAGTGACGGGGGGCGGGGTGAACAAGTTACAATGCAAAGGAGAGAGGACAGGCTTCTTCTCTGCCTCTCTTTTTACAATGATCCAACTCTTTCTAGCCCCTCCCTAGCTCCCTAGTTCTCAAGCCTGGAGAAGTAGTATGTAGTAGAAGTTAAGAGAATGGACTTGCAAATTGGACAGGCAAGGATCACAATCCTAGCTCTTTGAGAGGTCATTGCATCTCCCTGAACCACAGTTTTCTCATCAGTAAAGTCAACACCTACAGAAATCAGCTGCAATATGGGCATTAAATAAGATAATACATGCAATGTACTTAGCAAGCATCATGGCATAGAGTAAGAACTCAATATCAGCTATTGTCATTATTACACAAGGGTAGTACCTAGGGAAACATTTCTGGAGATTAGGAAAAATGATGTCTTTGAGCCAGGAAGGCATAAATTTCAGGGACTTCCAGCATCAGTGGAGCCCAGTTGTACATGTTACCCCTTGTTATTAATATATCTGTCAGGTGCAAACATGTAGTATCAGGATCCTGAACTTTGCCTCTGGGAGGATAATGTGGTGGCTAGAACTAGACTCTCAGGGTTCAAGGACATCCCTGGGTTGGAATTTTGGACATGAGTGCTCCTGGGATCTTTTCAGTGGTTCTCTTGACTTCTCTGACTGAAAGTTTAGCTATTCCTGGAGCCGAAAGGCAGCAAACTGCAAGATCCTAGGGCCTCAAAGACCTGGAACAAGTCCAGTTTTTTCCTCCAGGTCCATCCCAACCCAGAGGCTATAACCTGGGCTAGTCTAGGCGAATGCCAGGGCTGGGAGGGTGGGGTCTGCTGCCAGCCTGCCAGCTATTTATGACTCACCCTTCCCTTCCCTCCTCTGGTTTCCCTGCCCTCCCCTACCCACTTGGGGTGAGAAAGGAAGAAGCTGACTTGGAGGCAGAGAATCTTAGAACATCCACAGAGCCGGGAGTCACCAACCCTTGTATTTTACAGAGGAAGAAACTGAGGCATAGTGAGAGAATTACTCTCTTAGGGGCACGGTCAGACCCTAGACACCCAACCTTAGTCCATTCCACAAAATCTTAGAGCTTCTGGCTCTCTGGATCTAATTTTAAACATCAAATACTAAAATTTTAACCAAGAGACAAATATTTCCAAGTCTGTGTTAGTATTTAAAGTTTCCTTACGCATTCATTGCTCACATTCCAAGTCATGTAAGTCGACCATTACTCAGGAAATAGCTATGTCCCTAGAATACTGAGGCTGCCCCAACAAGAAACCCTGAGGGGCAGGAGCTCCAAATTTGAGGGCCCAGGGCTGATTACCTGGACTTCTGAATCCCTGAGTCACATCACAGACTGTATTCTACTCCTCTCCCCGACGCCTGCTGCTAGTAGGTAGCCCCCAAGAGGGAATCATTTACTTGAATCCTCAAAACTCAGTAAGCCTCCACAAACACTGAAGACTGCAGTGTTCCCTGGCTGAGGGGCGTGTGTGTGTGTATGTGTGTGTGTGTGTGTGTGTGTGTGTGTGTGTGGCGCGCGCGCGCGCGCGCGTGTGTGTAGAGGGTGTCATTGCGTAGTACAGGAGGAAGTTACGATACTGGCATGGTTGGGGGATGTGGGCTTGTCTATGCTGAGGCTGAAGAGATGCCCAATAATATTTGCATTTCTTCGTCAGGAAGGCTCATTTCTCCTAACTAAAGGTGAAAAGTGAGATTCAGACTCAGGTATTTTCAGAAAGTTCCCAGTGACAGGTCTGGAGAGGATGGGGGTGGGAAGTTGGGGACCCGGAGGCCAAACAAGAACCCTTCTCCACCCATGCGGCGCTGTGGAGGTTCTGAAAAGGACTTCCCTCCGAGTGGGGTCCCCAGGAACCGGGCTTCACCATCCCTCCGAGTGAGCAGAAGGGATGGAGGAGAAGGTCTGGGAACGTTACCCACCGGGTTCTGGCCCAGCCCTCCCGCGACCCCCCCACTGCGTTCCAGCGCAGACCCTACTCGCTTCCCGCTCCAGCTGTCATGCTTCCTCCTTCCCGACCCAGCAGCACGAACGCAGCCCGTGGGTCCTCGGCTCCCCACCCCTGTCCTGTTCCAATCGGGGAGAGAGCGGGGCGCTGGGGGGCTCGCGGGGTCTCTACCTTGTTTGGGAGGGCTCGCGGTGGCAGCTGAAGCGCCGGCGCCAGAGCTGGAGCCCGAGCTGGGCTGGAGGGGACGGGCCAGGCAGACGCGGCCGCAGCGGGGCCGCCCCACTCCTGACGACACAGCTGCCCGCCCCCCACCCCAGCCTGTCCGCCGCGCCCGCGCCCGGCGCCCCCAACTCTGAGAACTTCGAAGTTGGAGAAGCCCGTTTCTAGGTTTCCATTTCACCATTACCTGCTCCACCCTCCCTCGAATATGTCCGGGGCTTTGGACACATTTTCTCCATTAGCTGCTCCTCATCTTCCCACACCAGGGGCAGCTCTGCGTCTATTTCTCCTTCTTTCTACTCACTCACAGCCTCTCCCCTCATCCCAAACCTGGGCAGCCAAGATACCGGGCGGGCCCGCTAACAGAACAGCTCGGCTGTTGGGCACCCAACCAACTTCTCACTCTCACCTGATTGCTGCCATCCTGAACTTCCCTGCCCAACTCCCTTCCATCCACTACTAACTTCACACTCAGGATATCCCACGGGGGCAAGGCCAGAGTCCCAGACTCCACAACCTGACCAAACACCTCCCTCCCACCGAGGGCTCCACTCTGCTTGAGACAATCTACCCACCTTCTCCTCCATATTCCTCTCCTCCCTTTTAGAACTATTTGCCCCAGTCTAAGGACACCTCCTGTCAAGACTCATGTCCTCTCCTTAATTCTAGGGTGGAATTTTGCGCTCTGGTCTGTGTCCACCCTTTCTCCATGCCCTCATCCTCCCACTTTACCTGCTAACCTTGGCAGGTGGTACAGAAGACCCTGGCCAAAAGTAGGGAATGAAAGGTCCTTTCAGCTTCTCCTGCCTGGAATCTCTTCTAGAGTCATCAAGGCTCTCGGGATCGCATGGATGGTGGTGAATGTGGTACAGCAAGGGAGAGAGATGGAGGCCTAGGGACTTACTAGCAGGAACTGGAGACCCAGGCATCCTGCTCACTGGCCCCGCCCCCAAACCCTATCTAACTCCCTCCTACCCTTCATTGAAATAGGGGAGAGTAACAAAGCCTTAGGTTCCTGGAATATAGTCCTTCTTAAACCTGGGGTGGGAAGGAGGGTGAGGAGAGACCTCTGACTAGAAGGGTATATGCATATGTGGGTATTGTGTATGCATACATACACACACATAATATATACATATTTTTGGTGGGCGTTGGAGAGAAAAGGGAATGAATACATGAGGCCCTCTAGTGGAAATAGGGGAATCTAAGCAGTTCTTGATTGTTTCAAGACAGACTTGTTGGAACAGACTCCTCCACCTTTGCCAGAAATATAGCTGCTGAGTAATAGGGTTTGAGAGTATTGTTGTTCTATTTAAACTGGAGATTTCAGGCATAGGTTGAAGTGGGTCTGTCTCTCTGCTCCTGTGCCCCTCCGGGTCTCACCCTCTCACCCCTAATCATGAAAAGACAAGGGCCTTGACACTTCCCATCTTTGGCTTTACAGTACAGTATTTTCTTTTTCTTTCTCTTTTTTTTTTTTTGAGATGGAGTTTCACTCTTGTTACCCAGGCTGGAGTGCAATGGCGCTATCTCGGCTCACCGCAACCTCCGCCTCCTGGGTTCAGGCAATTCTCCTGCCTCAACCTCCTGAGTAGCTGGAATTACAGGCACGCGTCACCATGCCCAGCTAATGTTTTGTATTTTTAGTAGAGACGGGGTTTCACCATGTTGACCAAGATGGTCTTGATCTCTTGACCTTGTGATCCACCCGCCTCGGCCTCCCAAAGTGCTGGGATTACAGGCGTGAGCCACCGTGCCCGGCAGCAGTACAGTATTTTCTTCACTGTTAGCAGAACTTCATCTCTCTTTCCTCCATGACTTCCTTAGTCATAGTAAACAAACTATTCTGAAGGCCTTCTTTACACCAAGTCTTGCACTTAGTTCTGCAATACAATCAAAGACAGCTCAGTTTAAGGACTATACCAAAGAGAGGTACAGTGTGTGTAAACCTCTCTGCTCTGAGCTACTTTAAACAAACATACAATATAAGTAAGAATAGGCCCCCTAACGCCACTGCCAATCAGTTTTCTGTCCCTGGATCTCTTATTTAGAACTCTTGGGAAAAAAAAAAAGAACTTTTGGAAGGATATTAATCTTTAAGGCACTCAGCTTTCCTTGCAAAGAATGCTCAAAGTGATGCCACCCTATGTATTGCCTGTGATCCTCACTCTATCGTCTTTAGATATATCCCTAAATAAAGTTGAAGACACTCCTTTTAAGACAGTTTTTGGTACTTCAAAGTGGGATGTAATGTTATCTCTCTAGTAAGGAATAAGTTGGAATCAGTCTTACTCTAGGCTTCTTTGTGTCTTCTTTAGGATCTGTGCTCCATCATACCCCAAGTCAGTTACTAGGGGGTGTGGGTGGGGGAAGAAAAGCCGAGAAACATCTAAGGAGGAGGCGTTTAATGCCTACGGTTCCAGGTGCTCATTTCTTTAATCAACCACATCACAAAAATCAGAAAGAAAGAAACCACAATGAACAAAGGGAAAGGAAAAAACAACAGCCTGTCTCCCCGGCCTTTTCTTCCCCGTTCCTCCTCAGGGTGGGGGGCCACATCCGGGGCCTAGGGTTGGGTCCCAGGCAGGTCTACTAAGCAGACAATTGAGTTTCACTTCCTGTCAACCCCAGAGCTGAGGCAGGATGTCTGGGGGTGCAAAGGGGGCCTAGGGTTGGTAGTGAAAAGGGCTCACTTTAGGTTTCCCTCCTGCACAAAGGTCTATTGAGCAGCCTCTGGAAGCTGTAGAGACCACGCCTGAGGTAGTTCAGTCAAGGCCAAGGTATCCCATTAGTTCTTAGAGGCTTCATCCCACAGTTTCACTTCTAATTGTTAGCAACAAGGTTAAGGAAGATGTTAGACCCTGCAGTGCTGAAACACAACTGGTGAAAGAAGAGCAAGGGTTAAAGACAGCAATGTCAGAAAACTTGCAATAACTGTTTATCTATGCAAATATTTTTTATTTTTGTTTTTTTGAGACCAAGTCTTGTTCTAGAACATCACCTAGGCTGGAGTGCAGTGGCACCATCTCAACTCACTGCAACCTCCGCCTCCGCGGTTCAAGCGATTCTCCTGTCTCAGCCTCCTGAGTAGCTGGGATTACAGGCACGAGCCACCACACCCAGCTAATTTTTGTATTTTAGTAGAGACGAGTTTCACCATGTTGTCCAGGCTGGTCTTGAACTCCTGACCTCAAGTGATCCGCCTGCCTTGGCCTCCCAAAGTGCTGAGATTACAGGTGTGAGCCACTGCGCCCGGCCTGCAAATACTTTTTAAATGAGCACCGGCCACACACCTCCAGACATTCTGAGTTGGCTTCTAGTGGAAGTCACGGAGACGGAGGATAGGAAGGAAGGCAAGCTGCGGCCCCCAGAAAACTCCTGAGGCCTAGTTTGTCTTATAAAGGTTCTAGTCAGCCATTGCTGTTTTTTAGTTTTGTTTTTCAAATGGGACATGCTGCCTAGTGTTGGAGGTAGTCACCAATATTTACCTCCTCTCTCATTCCAGGAGTACTACTGGACATTAACCTAAGCCAAAGTGCGGATATATGGAGAAAGGTAAAGAGTTGATAAGGAAAAAGCTATATGAGGGTGGAGGAGGGCACAGGTGACACCTGAGGAGAGGAACCTGTAGCCGGCCCCTCCCAGGCTGTAGGGGGAAACAAGTTTAACAGGACTTAGCCCTGAAGGAACAACAGTTGATGAAATGGGCGGCGCATGGAGAGCATTTGGGTTCGTCGGAAGAATAGGGAGGTAAGGGGCAGGGCAGGATCACAAATGGAGTGACTCTACGGAACCGGGTTATTGGCGAGTTGCCCCGCTTTAGCTCCCCAGCGGTAGGACGAGGTTAATTAGAATACTAAGTAGGTCCGCCCAGAAGCCTTCACCCTGCCCTCCGACCCTAGGGCCCAGCCCAAGGAGGCACAGGGTTAGGAGGTCGAGGAGAAAAGCAACTACGGCCCCCGTCACTTAGCCGCCGAATCCTCGGCGCCGCCCAGCGGGGCAGAGCCAGGCCAGGGCCGCCCGCCCAACCTGGCCTGCTGCCTCTTCGGCCATGGAAGCTGCCGGCAACCCAGTGGCTACGGAGACAGGTGACCGACCCGCGGCGCCCTCCGCCTTGCACGCCTGTCCCGCGGGTCTCTGGAGGTTGAGTGGGGCGGCCGATAGCAATCGGCACGCGAATTCGACCTCCCCACCTTAGAGAGGGGTTAGATGGGGTCTTCCAACCGTCCCCAGAAACATCTGTGCGCCCCAGTGCGTTCTTGGAGTTTGCCTGCCCCACGTCAAGCCGCTCTGAGATCTGGGTGCAGGAAGAATAGCCTGGATATTCTTCCTTTCTTCATTTATAAGCCCCTCTTTCTGAGGGCAGGTGGGCCTTGCGCCCTTTTCCCTCACAGGTCCTGGACGTACGAGGAGTTCCTGGGATGAGAGGGACTGTGCCTCGGAACTTCTCTTGGCTCCCCGAGGACTGTTTTATACGCAGCAAGCGCTCAATAATGGTATCGGTGGCAGTAAAAGAGCCCAAGTCTTTATTTTATTAACTATTTCAGCTTCTCCCCTCTTCCTCCTCCTCCACCTCCGCCCATGAAATGGTGCACTCTCCCTTTAAGGCTAAGATGGTGGCTTGCTACGATCGGGACTCCACTTCCGGTGGGGCGGGGGGCGGGACCCCAGCCCGCTCACGCCGGAAGTGGTTTGCGTTTTCAAGATGGCGACTCCCTATGTTACTGACGAGACCGGCGGTGAGTGCGGGAGGCGCGGAGCCGCTTCTCTCCGGGCTCTCGGGGCAGGGGTTCGGACTTGGAAAGGGGTCTGTGCCCCGCCCATCCCGGGGCCCCTCCTTTGCCCCGCCCCCTGGACCGCCTTCCCCATTCATTCTCTCCTACGGGGTGTCTCCTGCGCCCCCTTCTGGTCTCGTGTTTGGGGGTCTCTGCTTCCGGTCACCCAAACCCTGGGGTCCTTCAGTGCTAGTCCCTGTTTCAGGACCCTCACGGGCCCTTAGCTTTTCTCCAGCACTTGGAGGACTCATATCTCTTTTAGGTTCTTCAGCCTTGGGGGCTCCTACACTCTCAGCTCCCTCCAATTCCTGCCCTCCTCCTTTTCCCCTCCCCCATCTCAGCTATACTTGCTTTCTGCCCTCCCCAAGCTCCGTTTTCATTATTTTTCTCGAAGTTTTATTTGCTGAAAACCTCCTCGTTTCTACATAGTGTTTTTTCCTCTTCCTTATCTTCATTTGTTGGGTCACTGAGGTCTAGAGGTGTGAAGGGAAGAGAATCCTCATATAACTTTCAGCTTTAGTTTTCTCCTTGATGGAACCACCCTTCTCTACCTTCTCCCGTGATGGTGATAGAAATTGAGGGGGGTCTAAGGTGGGAGAAGGCAAACTGGAAAGTGTCTAGTGGCTTTTCTCCCAACTCCTTTGACAAGTGGATAAAACCCAGTCTTCCTTCTGGCTAGGGAAGAATTTCCAGACTGGCTGGCTGAGATGCTGAAGTGTCTGCTGTGTATGTGAGGTGTATGTGCTAAAAACGGAGAATCACAGCTTTTATCATGGTTTTGTCACTTCATAATGGCCTCATCTTTAGAAAAATGTGCATAGTGGTAATAGCTATCCAATGATAATCAAGTAAGATAATATATGTGAAAGCAATTTATAAAACGCTGTTCAAGTGCAAAGTGTTTTTGTTTTTGTAGCCCTCATATGTATAGTCTGTAGAAGCAACACTGTGCCTGTGCCTTGGTACACATGGTCTGTTTTAAAATGTGCCATTTTTGCTTCTTTGCTGCTTTCCATGTTCCTTACACCTCAGCCCACCTATCTTTTTTTTTTTTTTTTTGAGACGGAGTTTCGCTCTTGTTACCCAGGCTGGAGTGCAATGGCACGATCTCGGCTCACCGCCACCTCCGCCTCCTGGGTTCAGGCAATTCTCCTGCCTCAGCCTCCTGAGCAGCTGGGACTACAGGCACGCGCCACCATGCCCAGCTAATTTTTTGTATTTTTAGTAGAGACGGGGTTTCACCATGTTGACCAGGATGGTCTCGATCTCTTGACCTCGTGATCCACCCGCCTCGGCCTCCCAAAGTGCTGGGATTACAGGCTTGAGCCACCGCGCCCGGCCAGCCCACCTATCTTATGGTACCTGGTGACAACCCAGGTTGCTGCTACTTATCCCCAACCTCACAATTTAAAGTGGCACTACCTCTTCCCTTCTGTTCTCTACCCAGTAGCTCCTTCATTAATTACCAACTTTTAATGTGTGATTTGAAAATGCTACTTATCCAATAAACTTTTCTTTACTCTTTTTTTTTTTTTTTTTTAGACGGAGTTTCCCTCTTGTTGCCCAGGCTTGAGTGCAATGGTGCGATTTTGGCTCACTGCAACCTCCGCCTCCTGGGTTCAAGCAATTCTCCTGCCTCAGCCTCCCGAATAGCTGGGACTACAGGCACACGCCACCACACCCAGCTAATTTTTGTATTTTTAGTAGAGACGGGGTTTCACCCTGTTGCCCAGGATGGTCTCACGCTCTTGACCTTGTGATCCGCCCACCTCAACCTCCCAAAGTACTGGGATTACAGGCGTGAGCCACCACGCCCGGCCAACTTCTCTTTACTCTTAATCATTTTCTTTACCCTGACTCAGTGAAAATCCAGGTGTCACATCTCACCCTACCTTGCCACTAAAAGCTGTTTTCTGTTTTCCGTGACTATGTGGAAGAAAGGAAGGAATAAACTGCTTGTTTGTTTTCCTTAACTATGTCCAGATCATTGATCTACCACTGTCACTCTAATTCTCATGAAAGGTTTGCCATGCAATTATAGCAGTTTCTGTAAAACTTTAGTGCCATCATTTACTGCCCACAAGGACCCACACCTATTGCAACATATTTTTTTCTCTCCTCTTTTCCTTGCTATCATTTTCAGTGTCTCCAGCACCATTGGAATACTCTGATCTCATAGTTCCTCAGCATGAGACTGTTGACTTTCCTTTGTATTTTCAAACCATTTGCACATCAGAATCACTACAATATGAACCTCATCTAGGACACTGGTTTTTCTTCAGGTGCTCCCCATCACTTTAGCCTCCTTACCAGTCACCTATTTCACTATCTTAAACCCACAGGGTCAGCTTTTCGTCCTGAGGTTCTCTGGTTCCTGACCTTCCCATTCCATTGAATCTGTCAGTACCTTATGGCCTTTGGTGCTGCCCAGCTAGACCTCTGTGACCAACCACTTTGATAATATCCTCATTGCTTTCTTTATTCATTTTGATTTTCTATACTAAGCAGTCACTTCTGTTATCTCTAATCATACCCATCAACTATTTTCTCATCTTCTGCTTCTAGGCCACAGCATGTTGCTGGAGAAAAAGCAAAGAAGGTAGCAGATTCAATATAACTTAATGTTAACTTTTGCCAAGATCATGGCTTTTAATTATTTTTTTCCTTTTTTTTTTTGAGACCGAGTCTCGCTCTGCCATCCATCTTGGCTCACTGCAACCTCCGCGCCTCCCAGGTTCAAGCGATTCTTCTGCTTCAACCTCCCGAGTAGCTGGGACTAGAGGCACGTGCCTACACACCTGGCTAATTTTTATATTTTTAGTAGAGATGGGGTTTCACCATATTGGTTGGGCTGGTCTCGAACCCCTGGCCTCAGATGATCCGCCCACTGCTGCTTCCCAAAGTGTTGGGATTACAGGCGTGAGCCATCACGTCTGACCTTTTTACCTAGGTTTTTTTGTTGTTGTTTTTCCAGGATCTTATACAGGGTATTACATTACATTTAGTTCTCATGTCTGCTTAAGCTCCTCTTGGCTTTAACGTTTTCTCAGGCTTTCCTTGTTTTCTATGACCTTGAGTTTTGAGAGGATTACTGGTCATGTTTTTTTTTTTTTTTTTTTTTGGAGACAGAGTCTCGCACTGTCATCAGGCACCAGGCTGGAGTGCAGTGGTGCGACCTTGGCTCACTGCAACCTCCGTCTCCCAGGTTCAAGCAATTCTCCTGCCTCAGCCTCCCAAGTAGTTGGGACTACAGGTGCGTGCCACCACGCCCAGCTAATTTTTGTATTTTTTAGTAGAGACTGAGTTTCACCATGTTGGCCAGGATGGTCTCGATCTCTTGACCTCGTGATCTGCCTGCCTCGGCCTCCCAAAGTGCTGGGATTACAGGTGTGAGCCACTGTGCCTGACCAGGTATTTTTTTTTTTTTGTTTTTGTTTGAATCTGAATCTTGCTCTGTCACCAGGCTGGAGTGCAGTGGCCTGATCTCAGCTCACTGCAACCTCTACCTTCCGGGTTCAGGTGATTCTCCTGCCTCAGCCTCCTGAGTAGCTGGGATTGTAGGCACCTGTTATCACTCCCGGCTAATTTTTGGATTTTTAGTAGAGTCAGGGTTTCACCATGTTGGCCAGGATGGTCTCGATCTCTTGACCTTGTGATCTGCCCACCTCAACCTCCCAAAGTGCTGGGATTACAGGTGTGAGCCACCACACCTTGCCCTGGTCAGGTATTTTGTAGTATGTCCTTCTATTGGATATTGTCTGATGTGTTTCTCATGATTCACAGACTTGGTTTTGTGTTTTGGGGAGGAAGACCACAGAGGTAAAGTGACATTTTTATCACATCATATCAGGGTATATAGCATCACAATGATTTTTTACTGTTAATTTTCTTGTTTGTTATTTTGAGACAGAGTCTTGCTGTATTGCCCCGGCTGGAGTGTGGTGACACTGTCATGGCTCACTGAAGCTTTGACCTCCCAGGCTCAATCGATTCTCCCATCTCAGCCTCCTGAGTATCTAGGACCACAGGCGTTTGCTATCGTGACTGGCTAATTTTTTTTTTTTTTTTTTTTTCGAAAAGCTGGGATCTTACTATGTTGCCCGGGCTGGTCTTGAACTCCTCAGCTCAAGGTGTTGTTCCCCTTTGGCCTACCAAAATTCTGGGATTATAGGCATGAGCCACTATGCCCAGCCTGTTAGTGTTGACTATGATCATCTGGCAGAGATACTGTTTGTAAGGCTTCACTGTAAAGTTACTCTTTACCCCCTTCCTTTCCATACTGTAGGGAAGTCACTATTCCTAGCCCACACATAAGGAATAGAGAGTTGTGCTCTTCTTAAAAACAGATTATGGTGGCGCGTGCCTGTAATCCCAGCTACTCAGGAGGCTGAGGCAGGAGAATTGCCTGAACCCAGGAGGCGGAGGTTGCGGTGAGCCGAGATCGCGCCATTGCACTCCAGCCTGGGTAACAAGAGCGAAACTCCGTCTCAAAAAAAAAAAAAAACAGATTAAGGGCTGGGCATGGTGGTTTATGCCTGTAATCCCAGCCCTTTGGGAAGCTGAGGCTGGAGGATTGCTTGAGGCCATTGTAAGCAACATAGCAAGACCTTGTGTCTACAAAAAGATTTAAAAAAAAAATGAGCTAGGTAAAGTGGCATACACCTGTGGTCCCAGCTACTCGGAGAGGCTGAGAGGGGAGGATTGTTTGAGCCAGGGAGGTTGAGGCTGCATTGAGCTGTGATTGTGGCACTGCACTCCAGCCTTTGTGAGAGTGATACCCTGTCTCAAAAAAGCAATTAAAAAAACACATTATTTGGCATTCTTCTGCCTAGGAGATTTTTCTCTTCTCCCTTGTTTGTTTATTCATTTATATCAGTATGGACTTACAGATGTTTATTTTATATGTTAGATTATAATCCAGTACTATTTTACTTGCTTTATTGCTTAGATATTCCAGTTTTGAACGTTGCGAACTCTTAGCTTTTTACTTGACCCATCTCCCTTTGACATTCACCATCATTGCACGTATGATTTTGTTCTCTGCTCCAGTCCTATGGTCTGCCATTTCTCTATGAAGTCCTTGTTGTTTTTACTGAAGAATAATGTTAGAAACTAAGATCTAGCCGGGCGCGGTGGCTCAAGCCTGTAATCCCAGCACTTTGGGAGGCTGAGGCGGGTGGATCACGAGGTCAAGAGATCGAGACCATCCTGGTCAACATGGTGAAACCCCGTCTCTACTAAAAATACAAAAAATTAGCTGGGCATGGTGGCGCGTGCCTGTAATCCCAGCTACTCAGGAGGCTGAGGCAGGAGAATTGCCTGAACCCAGGAGGCGGAGGTTTCGGTGAGCCGAGATCGCGCCATTGCACTCCAGCCTGGGTAACAAGAGCGAAACTCCGTCTCAAAAAAAAAAAAAAAAAAGAAACTAAGATCTAATCACTAGGTGTTTTTATTTATATGGGAGTATTATTTTTGCATCATCTTTTACTTTTCTCTTGCCCTCCTCACATATATCAGTTATCAAAATATTATTTTATTCCTACTGCTGTTACCCTTATCCCTTCTTCAGTACTTGTGAGCTATATGGCCTTGGGAATCTAAGCCTTAGTTTTCTCATTAATGAAATTGGAATAACTCCTGCAACAAAGGATTATTATGACAATTAAAATTTAAATGAAATAGGCCCAGCTCAGTGGCTCACGCCTGTAATTCCAGCACTTTGGGAGACCAAGGTGGGTGAATCACAAGGGGTCAGGAGTTCACGACTAGGTTAGCCAACATGGTGAAACCCCGTCTCTACTAAAAATACAAAAAAATTAGCCAGGCATGGTGGCGGGCGCCTCTAATTCCAGCTACTCGGGAGGCTGAGGCAGAGAATTGCTTGAACTTGGGAGGCGGAGGTTGCAGTGAGCCAAGATCACTCTACTGTACTCCAGCCTGGTGACAGAGTGAGACTCCAGCTCAAAAAAAAAAAAAAAAAAAGGAAAATAACCCTAAATGCAGACCAAGATGCACGCGCTAAAACATTCATAGTGTTCTAATAAAAATTCTGAAAATAATTTAAAAGTCCAGTAACAGAAGAAAGGTAAGATAGGGTGCATGCCCAAACCATAAAACACTCTGCCAGTATTATAAAGATGTTTATAGTGTTTTTAATAGCAAGGAAAAACATTTACCTCATAGGGCTAAATGAAAACGCAAGATATAAAAATGTATATACCATCTGATTCTGCTATGTTTAAAAAAGTTTAGAAAGATATATGCCAAATATAACAGCAGACTCTGGGTTGATGAATCATATTGAACAAAAATTACATAACTAAATTTGTACTTAAGAAGCAGTAATCTGTTAGCAGTGTATCAGAAGAAATGAAATGTGAGGGACTGGAGATAAGATGACTAGTTTAGGAGCTCACAGTAATATTTGCAGGACAACAGAAACTAGAATTTTAGCAGGCACTTAGAATGGCCCAAGTACTATGCCTGATACTTGGCCATATATAGTAATTTCTTTCTTTTTTTATTTTTTTATAAGATGGGGTTTCACCATGTTGGTCAGGCTGGTCTTGAACTCCCACGTCAGGTGATCCCCCGCCTT